ATATATATACACACATATATATACAAATATATATACACATATATACACACACATATATATACAAATATATATACACATATATACACAAATATATATACACAAATATATATACATATATACAAATATATATACATATACATACATATATACATATACATACATATATACATATATACATATATATACATATATGTATATATCATATAAGAAATTGTTTTTCTAAAATTATTTTTTTTTAAATAAAGCATTTCAAATGCCAAAATAATGACATTTAATGAATTATAATGCCAATTCAGGCCTTAATTTAAAAAATAATTATTTAATGACTTGATTTTTAATGACCTGGGAAACCCTGTAAAAGCTTAATTTTTTCAATTCTGACTAAATATGAATTAAAAGCAGTTATTGTGACTAAAACTAAGATTTCCTTAAGACTGAAACTAGACTAACATGTGACTATTTTCACACAAAAATTAACATTTTGTAAAGGACTTTCAAATAACATTGAACATTTTGAAATTTACAGTTTAATATTACATTAAGATATATTGCTAGAAAATTGTTAAAAAGATGTGGATTCCTGCATTTTATGTTTCAAAGACCTGCCCACCCCTTTCCTGATGTCAGGGACCGACCTAAGATTATTAAGGCCCAGAAGTCATCGTCCAGCAGCTCAATCGACTTCAGGATAAATTCTAGTAATAAGGTCCCAGAATTGATCACAGAAACCACTCAAAAAAAGATGATCTGCTGGTGGAACAAATTTTATTAACCCAAACAATTAGACACCAATTTGATGAAAACACAAAGAGACCCCTTGATAAAGTTAAGGGACTAGCCACAGCCTACATTGGCCCCACCTCCCACGCTCTGATTGGCTGAAGATCAGAACAAAGTATTAACTTCTCCTTCGAAACAAAACCCAACAACCTTGTAACTATAACTCAATTTTCTAAGAGTGACTATTATAAACAGGAAGTGACTGAGGCAGACATTTTGGAGGTGAACAAGTGCCTGAAACAGAAAACATGCTAATAGTTAGCCCTGGGATAACTGGCATTCTTTTAGCAACTTTTATATAAATCTTATTCAAGTTATTTTTAACAAGTGAAAACATCTAATAAGCAGGAATGGTCTGTCATGTTAGCTGCATGCTAACAGCTAACCATGGCAGCATTTGAATCTGATGCCAACATGTCACGCTGCACATATTTTTCAAAATAACATTTTCAGGACTTTGTGAAAATTGCCTCATGGGCAGAAAATATGAGGACATGGCCTCACTGACTGTAACTGGTGCTGTTGGCCACAAGCTCTTTACATGGTGGGGGGGATGTAGTGCGTTGGTGTGTGCGGCGCAGTGATGTAACCAACCACATGAGTAGGATTGGGGGCCGGGCAGTAGACCCGCGGGGCGTGGCCTGATGTCGGGAGTGTTCCCCAGTGGGCTGAAGTGGGAAGACAAGGATGGTACGGGGGATGATGGGGAGGGTGATGAAGGGGAGGGTGAGGAGCTGCAGGTAAGTAGCCAGCAGGGGGCGGCGCTTCGAAAGGGATATGCAGCAGTGTAGGGGGAGGGAGCGTCTGATCTGGGTAGAGTCCTGAAGGTGTGGAGCCTGGAGAGGCCGGGTTCATGGAAGGTCCTTCCACTGAGGGGGCGGGTCCTGAGGAGAGAGACCAACGTGTTTCAGGTTCATCATTCTCATTTTATCGTCTCTAACCAAATCAAGAGTCTCTACTTTTCTGAATTCAGCACAAGTGAAATGGCCACATTGCGTTCAGATAGGTTGAGTAGTTGGTACTGACCGTTGCCATGACCCTCCAGCGGTCCGTCTGCTGCCCTAGAGGAGTCTGGGTAGGAGGATGGGGGTTGGTGGGCTCCACGGCCAGACTCAGAGAAAGATGGGGGCACAACTGGGGGCATAAGATGTACAAGAAGGGATTATCAGGTCTCAACTTCTATAACAGTAAAAAACTTTAAGCTTCTAGTTCTCAGAAGATCAACTTCTACATTGTCCAAAGTGCTAATCTTTGATGTGATCTCTTGATGGCGGTGCACAATTAGTGTTAGCCCTGCTGAAAAATAGCTGAAAGTCGTTAAGAGTCTTCAATGCGATGGTGGAAGAGCAGCTAGGATGCTCAGTTATTCAAAAAAGTGATTTGGGCATTTCTTACCACAATTCTGAAAAAATACTCAACTATACCCTAAATTCTGGTCAATCAGGTGATTTTAAGACCTAAGATTCCCCACATGGGCATAAAAAAAACTTTAGATATAAACAGGTGTGGTCCCAAAGTGTGTAGCTGATAGCCACACCAGCAGATCTCGTTCAGGAACATTTAGAGGTCAGTCATGGATATTGCATAAAACTTCAAGATTAAAGATCAGAGTAAATAAATGTTGCAAATGAGAACGCAGCAATGGAGACAGAACAGGTTCTATAAATAGAAAGACAGTGGGCGCAGAAGATCGACTTGCCAAGCTGGTCAATTGTTTGCAACCTCAGGAAATGCTTTTTGATTGGTTACACACAGAGGTGGGTAATAACTAGTTACATTTACTCAATTAACTTCAGTAAGTTAAAAAAAAAAAAAAAAAAAAGTACTTTAAGGAGTAGTTTTAGAGTAGTTTTTACTTTTACTTGAGGAAAAATGTCACAAAGAATCACTTCTATTTCTTGAGGCTGCTTTCTACATTGTGGGTAAATTTACTTAAAGAAAAAAGATTGCTTTTAACAAATATGCAACAGTGACATTTTTTCTTGTGCTAATTTGTGCTTAACGGTGAAATGTCATTTTCCATCTGCTCAGTCTGCTGTGTCATTTGGAGGTTGAGTAGAAATTGAGTAAAGAGTATTTATTTATACATATTAACATATTCCCATGTACTCCAACCATTGATTTATGTTTTATAACTCACATTTATTTTTATCTACCTAATTTTTTTATTGTGCAATTACTGTATTTTATATGCTTATTTCAAATGCTCATTCTTTGAAACACCAGAATTTTAATATTAAAATCTTTTGGTAATTTTTACATCATTTTGTAAAACATTAAATCAGGTGTCAGCGCTACTCAGTACTTGAGTAGCTTTTTACTAAATACTTTTTCACTCTTCCTTGAGTCATTTCTTTTAAATAAAAATTGTGTTCTCATTCACCCCTCACTGAACAGTGGCATTATTGACAATATTTACTTATTTACAGAACAATATCTATAGATAGAACAATAATTTCCATCTTTAGAACAGTATTAATTCAAGTGGTTCAGCACTCCATCAGAATCAGGAGTTTTTCTGCTGTTACTGGATCATTTTAAACCATCTGATTTTTCTCTTTGGATCAGAACAATCAGTAAACATGGTTCCTTCTTTCTTCTAAGGTAAACCCATCCTCTAGAAGCTCACCATGGGGAGGGGGCTCTTGGCTCAGGTAGGGGGGGTAGTGCTGGTAGGGATAAGACGGGTCTGGTGAGGTGGGGGCATACACCTGCTGCTGTTGCTGTTGCCAAAAGCTCTGATGGTACCACTGAAAGAAGGCCGACGTTCAGAGTGAGGCTGAAACTGGACAATCCTTACCCAAACGTTTGCTCAGTGTGCAGCGGTACCTGAACTCCAAGGTTGTAGTAGTACTGGAGAACCCTGCAGTCTGAAAACAAACATCAGATCTCAAACTGACCAGCATGACTTCAGATGAAAACTGGCCTCATGCGATCTCTAACCTCGGGGTAAATCACTGCCGTTTGGGTCGTAGGAGTAAGATGGCTGAGTCACCACAGAGCAGACAGGCTCGCCCAACTCGTTGACCAACCAGGGAGCAGCAGCAGAGATCGTCATGGAAACTAAGGACAAAACAACCGGTCAGAGTTTACGTCTGATGTTCTTGTTCTCCACAGATCATGAGTCTACCTTGGCGTGTCTGAGCGTGAGCAGCTGGTGGCAGGTGAGGAGCAACAGGGACCCGAGACGGCGACGGTGGTGAGGAGGAGGAAGAGGAGGAAGGAGAGGAACAGATGACCGGCAGCGGCTTCACAACCTGAAACAAACGCATCTAAGGAGGTTCCTCTGGAAAACGGAGTATAAAACATTTCCTCAGACAAGAACCTGAGAGTTAACATGACAGATGCCATCCCTGAACTTGCAAACGAGGCAAAATGATGTACCCAAAGCAGCCAACAGGGGGCAGAGTGGGCATTTACCTGTGGCGGGTAGCAGTAGGCTATGTCCGACCTGCTTGGAGAGTCTGTTGAGCCCCTTTCCTTGTCGTCCTTTGAACAGACAAATTCATGCCATCAAACACCCGCTGGTATTCCTGGACATATATGGAGTTAATATAGTACTAACCTAAGGACAACATTTGTAAAAAAAATAAATAATAAAACAAAAAAAAGCAAGTTTTGTAAATGAATTTTTGAAAGAAATGCTACCAAGACATAACCTGGAAGTAGCCATATTGATAACATAGAACTGAGTTCAGTTCTACGTTATCGATCAGGGATGTTTGCAGCCTTGCTGACGACTGTCAGCTTCAGGAAAAAAAATGTTTGTTTATGAACAAAATAAATTATTTTATGGAACTTTCCATACAACAAGGTATCCAAAGTGTTTTACTGCACATCAAAAAAAAGATAAATGAAACATAAGATATTAAATAACTTGCATTAAAATTTAAATCAAATCTCTGAATTAACAGATTCAGCGACAATCAGTCAGGCTCTGCTGATCTAAAGGTGCAGTAAATGATCATTTTGTCAGTCCAGATTTAAAGGAACCAACAGGTTCTTAACATCATAAACTTTTTTTTACAGAACAGAGTAAACGCCATAAAGGATTATAATTTTCTGGCTTTGGTCAGGACTCTGGAAGCAGCATTTAGGATGAGCTTCAGCTGCCTGCAGAACTTTTTCAAAGACCAAAAGCTGGCTCCAGTTAAGGACAACCAGTCCTGGCACCGTTTTTAAAAGTCTACTAAACTGATTTAGTAACACATAAAGGTCCCAAGCAGAACCCTGGTTTCTCACATGCTTTGTGGTCTTTAATCACACCGTGTTTGTTTCAGAGCGCTGAGGCTGAACTTTAAATTGACTATCCCTGTTATTTCTGCATTAAAACGGGAGGAAAATATCACGTACACATGACATTTTGATTTGAGTGACTAGATGCCCCGTCAAACATTTTCGACTGGCATGTCTACAAGACATTTTTAACCTGATCAGCTGTTTATGTTAATTACTTGTGTCCATGTAAACAATACAATCCAATGATGTTTTTGTATTTAGAGTAGAACACATGTATATTGATTGCTAAAATGTGCATGTGAACACATCTAACAGGTGATTTTGGTATCACTACATTTGATTAAAAAAAATAACTGGAATAAGGTTCAGCTGATGAATTTAAAAAGAGGTATTCAATATAAAGCCTATATTCTTGATAATATAGTATACATTTATATTCATAATACTTGGATATTTAAAGGGAAGGTGAGATGGTTAGACAATGTTGCGGCCTTGAACCTCCTCAGAAAAAGTGTTGCAAAAGGGTAGCCTGGTAAACTGGACTAAATGGGAGATTAAATGTGTAATTTAGTCTGGCCCCGATGAATGAGACATCGGAAGATTGCTGAAGAGAACAACCCTTTGTTTTTCAAACTGCTGTCTGTGCCTATTGGCCAATGCTCTAATGAGCGCAACTGACTGTGACGTAGTAAGCGCAACAAAAAGCTGGTGGGAAAGTGTAAACAAACAGCCTGTTGGTAAAACGGCGAATACGTCCTTCTTAAAAATTAATGAGCGTAGAGCCTCTTCCTGCTCACATTCAGTCTAATCCTTCCAAAACGGATTCCAAAGCAGAGTCAAAAATCGGAATCAGAGCCAGCGGCTCTTCACACATAATGCCGAGAGAGGGCCGTTGCAGACGGGCTGCGGTTAGCCCTGGCTGCCGTTAGCCTCGGAGGTCCACTGGTTGCCGCGGTCAACTTCGGAAATTGTTTTTTTAATTACGCATTAAATCAATAAATGTACCCTTAGGGCTGGGTACCGAACTTCGGTACTTTTATGGTACCGACCGAAATGCTTCGGTTCTACAGAGTATCGAAACATGCCTCGTCTTTCGGTACCAAGTTTCGGTGATTGGCTGTAACACTTAACGTGATTGCGTCATCCAGGAAAAATACACAGGTGGTCCCGCCTACAGCCAGGGTTCGTGTGTATCTGTTGTGAACTGGTTGTGAGCGTCGCGGAACCCCTTTAAAATGCCCCCCAGGTCAAAAGTGTGGCTTCACTTTATTAAGACTGATGCTAATAGTGCGCAATGCAATACATCGTGCACGGAAACAATTTAAGAGCAGAAAGTCGCTCGGTGTTTGACTGCAAGAAGAGCGGACCGCAGCCGGCGCGACCATCCTCCTCTCAGCAGCCCGTGGGCAGAGGAAAGCCAGAGCGGAGTGAATCATGCTGCTTTCAAATTGGACGCAGCAGGAGCAGCAAAATCGCGTCTGCTGCTTCCTTTTTTGCTGCTTGTACCAGCTTCTGACACGCGGCTGAAGAAGCTTTGCTGCTCTGGCTGCGCGGTTGAAAAGTGGCTCTGACGCGCGTTAGGCGGAGCTACTCTATCCTTTATTTGCCTTGCAGCTATATTTGCTGTGATCAGTGGGAATAAAGTAGTTTTATCATGTTTTTAAGTGGGAAAATCCACCTGAAAACTTAATCAGTGCAGTCAGTTCATCCTGCCTTCCAATATTTCTGTCGGAGCCGCTCAGACCCCCAGCGGTGCGCTGTCAATAGGATCCCATTCAACGGGCTTGTTTGTCAGACATGGTAATTTTTCTAAAGGAAAACTGCTAAGTAAAAAGGTCCTCACAATGTAACAGTGAATATTAGACAATGAATTTTTTTTTATGTAAGAGGAAAAATGTAAATGGAAAAACAGAGCTTAAAATAAAACTCAAGATTTGTACTTTTTTATGTTGTGTAATTTTCTTTTTTTTTTCGAATTGATATTATAAAACTGGTATCGAAAAAAGTATCGTTCAGGAACCGGTATCGAAGTGAAGGTATCGGTATTGGTACCGGAACCGAAAATTTTTGAACAATACCCAGCCCTATGTACCCTATAGTGATGCGTTAAAGTATAATATTCTCGCCTCAAATTATCTAAAAACTTACTTTTATTGAACAGCAACAGAAAGAGAACTTTTAACTTTCAATGGAGTGCTCCATTAAAAGCTGCTGCTCCTGCAGTGCATGCTACTGTTGTGCTCTCTCCAGTGTCGTGCAGCCCTAAAACCCCGCCCGCTCTGCATCCAGACATTCAAAACACATCTCTGCTTTGTGATTGGTCCGCCAGATTTAGGGCTTCGGGCATTGATTGAGGCTAGACCAACTCGAAGGCAAAAATTATTTTTGCCGCTGGCGGGTGGGGCTAGTTTACTAGGCTAGCAAAAGGGTTTATTCTCATAACCTCAAGAAGGCTTCAAGTGATCTCCAAATGGAAAACCTCAAAATAAAGGACTTTCGAAGTTGGGTGTTTTTATGGCTATTTTAAACAACTCTTGAGGACTTAAAGTTAATTCAATTTAAAAACTCTCCAGGGTTTCAAGGATCCATGGGAACCCTGTGCTTGATTTGTTTAGCCTTCACCATAGTGGTGCTGGATCCGCAGTGCCCCCTGCTGACCAACTAGGGCTGTAACATGATGAGGAATGAAAAGCCAGATGTCACCTTGGTTACCTGGTTGGAGGAGGCCTCAGCAGCTGTGTAAACACTTGACGTTTGGTAGCGCTGATCTAAAAGAGATCAACTTAGTGTCACTTCCGGTTTTAGCAGGAAAAATAGCAGCACAATGACCGTGTTCTAGTGGTACTTACCCTGAGCGCCGTATACATACTCCTCTGTGTACTCAGCTGACAAAATAAGAGTACATATCATTAAGCACAATCTGTATCCAGCTCCAATTAAGGATTTTTTCTCCCTTTTGTTTCTTTTCCAAGTTCAGTAAGTTACTTACTCTGGTCCTCCAATGTGCTCACATCCTCCTGGTCCTCCTCAGAGGAGCATAAAAGGGTGTTTCCAGGGGGGGATGTCGGGTGAAGGGCCCCTGAGGCCCTCTGAACTCTATAGGAAGAGCCAATGGGAGGAGATGACTCTCCAATGGTGTTAGGAGGAGCTACAGCATTGCCCTGCAGAGAAGAGGGGGGACACCGAGGAGTTTAAGAACCATTAAAAACAGTAGGTCAAACTCAGCAGGTTCTAAGAACGTCTGGTTTCTGTCAGGTTTACCACTTTTGGTTCCAAAGTGTCTACCAAATGATGCAGGTAATATGGCTGCCAACAACAGGAAGGTGCCAGTTCTGGTTGAAGAGCGGTGTAGGAAGTGCTATCAGACTGCAGTGACAATCAGCCATAAGGTGCATTAGATCGATGCAGGTACTGGATCGAGTAATTTCCATGTTTTCTGTATAGACAATGCGACTAAATCGTTGGCAATGCTAAGGATGAGTTTCAAGATATATGAATGGCATGTATCGGGCGATTGATGAGAAACTGCATAGGGATTGGTCCTGTGGACACTTTGATAGAGCATGGTGTAATTTAACAAGGTTGAAAAAACTGTCAATTTGTCTCCCTTAAACAATCAGGGACAGCATGCGGTTATGACATAGGATTAAAGAGCACAGCTGAGACTAAGCTTTTCCAGTCAAAAACTCCCTGAAGACTAATTCATAGCAGTATTGCAGATCCTGGAAATACAGCTAAAGCACATTCAGCCATAGACCAAAGTTCAAGCCAGTGTCAGCGGTGTCCATGCAGATTATATGATGGAGGCAGAATGCAAAGCAACCAACGCCAGACAAACCACTAAGAACATTTTTTGTGTTTACGGTGAATGTAACTTTAGGGGTATGACTGGGATGGAAATCTTGAATTGGTGAGTTAGACGTGTGGACATTACACAAATTCCAGGGTAAGTATATAATAACCAGATGGAAGACCACACTCCTTAAACACCAGTCAAGGCTCTACCTTGACACAGCTGACGTGAGGAAAAATCTTAGGAGAGTCAACCCAAGAAAGGCCCCAGCCCCGATAACATACCGGCGGGTGTTCCAAGGAGTATGCAGGTCAGCGGGCAGGTGCCCTCACAAAGATTTCTAACACCTCACTGGACCAAGCGATAGTTCCAGCAAGCTTCAAGTCTGCCTCGATCATTCCGGTCCCAAAGAAGCCTCACGTCACCTCATTTAATGACCACCGGCCTTTTGCACCTACTCCCATTGAGATCAAGTGCTTCGAAATGCTGGTTAAAGAACACATTGTCTCCAGTCTCACCCTAGCATTTGACCCGTTCCAGTTCGCCTCCCGACACCACTGCACTTAAGATGCCATCTCCTCTGCTCTTCACCTCAGCCTGGCACACTTGGGAGAGAAGAACACCCACATGCAGATGCTGTTCCTGGACTTCAGTTCAGCTTTCAACACCATCATTCCACTGCATTTGATAGGTAAACTGGAACATCTCAGCTTTAACCTGCGCCTTTGCAATTGGCTGCTAGACTTCCTCACAAACAGACCTCAGTCAGTCTAGGTTGGACAAAACACCTCTCATGTCATCACCCTGACCACAGGCCCCCTCACGGCTGTGTCCTGAGCACAGTCCTGTTCACTCTGATGACACACGACTGCGTCCCCTGGTTAACCACCAATCACATCGTGAAGTTTCCACTGCTCATCAACAGCTCAGCTGTAGAGCTGGTCAGCAGCACCAAATCCCTGGGGGTGCACATCACAGAAAACCTCCTCACTCACACCACCTCACAGGTCAAAAGGGCACAGAAGTGCTTGTTCTTCCTGCGGAGGATGAGGAGAGCCCACCTGCCCTCGCCCATCCTCACCACCTTCTACAGAAGCACCATAGAGGGCATTCTCACTAGCTGTCTCAGTGACGCAGACTGGAAGAATGTGAGAAGAGTAGTGAGAACAGCAGGGATAATCATCAGGGCTCCTCTTCCCTCCATTAAAGAAATGTAATCCCAGCGCTGCGTTTACAGAGCCCGTAACATCATCAGCGACCCCTTACACCCCCACCATGGACTGTTCTCCCTGCTGCCCTCTGAGAAGAGGCATCCACTGCAGGTCCAGTAACAGCTTTTCCCCACTGCTGAACTGCTGGAAAAAAAAAAAAAAACTTAAGTCACAAATCAAGACTCTGCATCACACTGACAAATAGAACTCAACTCAAAAATGTTTTTCTACTGCATTTTTGCACCATATATATTTGTTTTTGCACTGCTCTGAACTTCCACATCAATGCCCTTTGCACCATATTCTTCTTCCATTTACATTTGATCATTGCTACACTTTATGAAATGGAAATTTGGTTCTGTATACACTCTTTGTATACATAATGACAATTAGGTTGTCCAATTCTAAATAAAAAAAACATGCATTAGCAGAAAGTGAGGCCTAATGTTTATTGTATCATCGCGTTACCTCTAAGTGGAGAGTCAGATCCGATGTGGAGGTGGGCTTAGCGTCTTGTAGATTATCGATCACACAGATTTTAAATCATTTTCTCATCCTGCCCTACATGTTTTATTGGGCCACTATCAAGACTTACTTCAAGCTGAAGAAGACCACCTTCAAGTCTTGGCTAGTTCTATGACCCAGGTCGTCAGATCCCAAAGGAAAACACTGGATCCAGGAGTGGAGGAGATTTGCTGCTTCACTCATGTGGAGTGATGGACAAAGGTGATTGCTCAACTATTTTATTGCCCAACTACATAAGAACTCCCCCATCACCACCTTTCTTGGGGAAGCTGGTTCTGTTGAGGACTTAGTGTCTTCAAGAGAAAACCAACACGGCAGCTTCGACATCAACCAATCGATGGTTCTAGGCTGGAAAGCAACCTGTTTAGAAGTGTCAATTATTTCTGGTTCCTCACCGGCAAGGCAGGGAAGACTCCTTCATTGGAATCTTCCAGCTGGTAGTAAGCAACAGGGGGGTCCATATCAGCCGATTCGTCCACTGCCTCAGCTGGAAACCCAAACTGGCATTCCTTATTGACAGCCACCAAGTGGCGCCGACTGCGACTGTATAAACGTTAGAAGTCATTAAACAATCTGTTCTGCAGAACAGATGTGTTCTTGTTCCAATCAGCAGGTCAAGATCAAACAACTATTCAAACTGGAGGAGAACATTAACATTGAAGATTGGTTGTGTCTGTTTACCGGGACCTGAAGGCATAGTTATCATAGTCATGGTAATATCTCCTGGTTGGGTGATAATATGACAGCTGGGGACCAATCAGTTGTCGGTTCAGGAAACGTGCAGAACTTCAAACCCAAACCAACAAGTCAGGTGGCCAAAGAAACACAAAAGCACAAAAACGTAAAGCAATCAGCAGGATCATCCTTGATGAAATGAAGTGTGTGCCGGACGACATCAGACTTACCTTGACACTCCATAGCGTGAGGCTCTTGCCCCTGGAGGGTGGTGGTGTGGGGGGGCATAGGGGTCAAATGTTACAGCCCCTGGTGAGGGAGGAAGAGGTGGACGTGGGTGACCTGCAGGCTGGAAGCGGGGGGGCAGAGAGGAGGGGACAGCGCCTCCATAAGAGACCGGTGGTGGCATTAGTAACTCTGCCCCCTTCATGCCATTGCTGCCTCGAGACTTTCTAAAGTATCGATGGCGTTGATGTCGCTGACCTCGAGACTCTGGGTCTAGTAGAGAGAGGATGATGTCAACGGGCCAGGATGGGTCAGAAAATAGCCAAACACTTGAGAACCTCAAGCTTACCCAGCTCTCCCTTCCTAACAGGAGCTGCCACGTTCCACGCAGGAACTGGGTTTACTGGTTTGAGATCCGTCAGTGGAACTAGGTGTCTGCAAACAATTAACACAACCAAGAACTTAAATTCTGGAGCCAAGAGCATGATATGGAACCGGTGTCTGGGTTCATATCCAACTAATTCTTACTTTTCTCCTAGCTCCTCGATGAACACAGTAACTGCTGCTGAGTGCGTTCCTACTTCCTGGATGAAGGCGTTGTAGTACTTTCCCTTTGGTTCCAAACGGACCTGAAACCCATTAGATTGAAGCTTGATGTACAGTCTGTTTTGGTTCATTCAGAACCTTTATTGAAAAGCCAAACTTTCAGGAAAAGAAACTAAGATAGTGTATCCCGGACAAGCCCCCAATACAGAGTGTATAGATTTGTTATTTATTCCTTGTCCATTCATTTTTCTTCCTAAGACCCAGTCCACTTGTCTGTAAAACTCGTCTTGATCAGATTCTTCTTTGAAGTAACTAACTGTACTCAAACGGAAATTAAACTGCTTTGTTGTTCAGTTTTAGCCCAAACCATTTTAAGAATCCTCCAGGAAGCCCGAAAAACTGTTGATACAGCACCATATTAATGATTAAGTCTAGGCTGACCAAATCAAAACTTGATTTAAAGTTTATGACATGGTTGTCATGATACCAGATTTTAAATTTGATACCAAAAATCAAGACTACAATTACTTAAAAACTAACTAATAAAAGCTCTTTTACTGGAGGGACCTTCAGGTCTTCATCCGGGCAATTAAAATGGCTCATTTTGCCAAAACTGTATTCAAAGAACAATTTCCTTACGTCAAAATATACATTTTTATAATCCCATCATCAGATCTTTTTTTGTCTTGTGGAAATTACCCGGGGCTGCATTGCAGTGGGGATCTGTGACTGAAAGAAAGTTGTCTGATGATCTACAGCCAAAAAACAAACTCAATTCTAAGACCCACAGGAAATGAGGCGTCACCTGGCACTTGTCTCCCAGGAAGTACTGCCGTCCCGCAAACACCATGTAGTCTGTCTTCTGCATCTCTGTCACAGCAAAGTAATTGGATTACAACCATTGTTCACTCCTACCAGACATCCTAAAAATATGGAGCATTTCTGAGTCCGTTATATCTAGTTCCAGTCTTGTATGAACTATTCTGTTTCCATGTTTATGAGGGACATGACTGTGTTCACTAGGAGGAGGTTCAAACTAAGATCCATAAGTAGACAGAAGTCCTCAATAATCAATCACCAACCAAACTAGGGTTTGTTTTCAGAAGTCATGCAACTTCCTGTTACCTTTGCAGGTGTCCTGCCACACGTCAAACTCTAGGTTCCTGTAAACGTCTCCATCCAGAGACTTCAAAACCTTGTAGGGCAAAGACAATCTGCAGGTGGGAGGAGCCTCAGCGGCCAACTAAAAAAACAACAGAAATGACAACTTTAGGGTATTAAAGGACCAATATCACAGTGATGGGCCAAGGGTCTGCAATTTACGATCCAAAAATTTATTGTTGCCCTCAGTCCAGTTAAAACTTCTTTGCAGCCACAAATGTTATAAATATTTAAGAAATTACATTAAAAAAAATAATAAATAAATATCTACTTGACAATATTTTTTAGCCACTAGGGTCGCTAGACCTGTAACTTCCAGGTTTAGTATCTTCTGCAAGCAAATTAAGTTCAGGCAGATCTTTGCTGTCCCAGTTTGACGGTCCATATTCAGACGACTTCCAGCTGCTTTCTTTAAAAAATATTCACTAAAAGCTGAATATATATACACTATATTGCCAAAAGTATTTGCTCACCCATCCAAATTATTGGAATCAGGTGTTCCAATCA